GACATGCGCCCAACTCCCAAAGGAAAGGATGTCGCAAGATCGACTTTACCAAATATTACAGATAATGGTAATATTGGTAATGCCATTCTGCCTATATCACGCTGGCGAGGCTCGAGAGAGAGTCCCAAGGTACAACGGGACGAGTGAGCTTTGTAACGCGATCGGTGATCACCCTCCTACTAATGTATATACCCGATCGCAACCGACAGGACAACGAGCCCGTGGCTCAGTGGTTAGGGGCGTTGGACTCATAATCAACAGGTCGCAGGATAGAAACCCAGGTTTTCCCTACTTCAGGGCTGGATGTGACTGGCTGACGACGGCTAATGAACCGGAAATGGCCATTCCAGTCTCCCTTGTCTTTGTCGACAATTCTATTCGGCATGTATATATGTATTGGAAAACAGGCGTCTCAAGTAATGTAAGTTGAAAGGAGCTAGGTTCTATGAGACAAGAAGTCTCATTGCGTAAATTTTCGACGCTGGTTCTCCAGGTTGTCGTCAGACACAGACGAGGAGCAAATGAGAGGACAAGAAACAGTTAACGTTACGAGCGCACATAAAATCGATATTTGCTTGGCGTTTGAGCCGGTAGGCAGCCGCTGGGTGTGTCAGTCTGATCTGAGTAGCTCTTCTCTCTTCCATTTCTCTCTGGGGTTTCTGTACACAGCATCCAACTCGATATGCTGGTTGATGCATGATTCCTTCGAGTGCATTGCCTCGAGGAATTCTCTACCTCGGCAAACAGCGACGATGCGAACTTTGTCCCGAGCGAAGGCGTGCCAGGTGTCCTGGGTATGCGTGGCTACATGGGATAGGTGGTCTCGCCTCGACTGCAAACAGGTGTTCATGGATGCGTGTTGAGGCGGATTTTCCAGTCTGACCACAATAAACGACAGCGCATGCATCCCACGGGATCTTGTAGACGACCTCTTTCTTGTTCAGCTGGCCAACCCTATGCTAAGGATGTACCACATGAGAGCGCAAAGTAGTCGTAGGTTTATACGCCACTCGAATATGCTGCTTTCTTAAGTGCCTTCGAGCCTATTGCTCATTGAAAGTTCAGGTCTGGCCCTTAAATGTCGTCCCTGAGACTTAAAGCAATGCCATCCACTGAATCAGAACAGTGAGTTCTTGCTCGGTTAAGGAGGCTGTTCACGGCACTCCGTTTGTGAGAGATGGGGTGATTGCTTTCTTAATGCAAAAGAACTTCCGCGTAGGTTTCCTTGTGGTAAACCGAAGTTTGAAATGTCCCGTCGGGCTTTCTCTGTACGAGGTCATCAAGAAACGAGAGTTTGTTGTCAGCCTCTTTCTCGAGTGGGAATGTGATACCTGGAAGTGTTGAGTTAATAATATCGTGGAGTATTTCCAGTTGATCACTTTTAACAATGACGAACGTGTCATCAACATCACGTACCCATAATCTGGGGTTAACTAGTGGTAAGGCAATGGCCTCTTATTTCTGCATCGTGACTTCTGCGAGAAAACCAGAGATGGGTGACCCCGTAAGGGCTCCTTTCAGCTGCTGATAGTATTCCTGTGCAAATCAAAAGTTCGTTTGTAGACAAAGGTCTAAGTGTTCTTACAAAGCAGATGCAGAGATATCCCTGTCGTAGTACTGGAGACGTTCCTCTGTACATTGTCTTGCTAAATCCAATGGTATGGAGGTGAACAGAGAAACTACACCGAAGGATACCATTATTTCATCTGCTGCGATTCTCAGTCCTTGCAATTTGTCCAGAAACTCTGCAGAATTATTGATTGATGCTTCACAATCCTCTGTCAACGGATAGAGTTTGTGGAATAGCCAATTAGAAATCTTGTAATTAAATGCACCAATTAACGATACTATCGGTTCCAGTGGTACTTCAGGTTTGTGGATCTTGGGTAGTCCATAGATCTTAGCAATAACTGGTTCAGTTTGTCGTAAGGATTTGGCAATATCTCCTGATATTTGCTCCTTTCCTGTAAGACGTTTTAGAACTTTTTCAATGGCCATATTCTGCGCTTTGGTAGGGTCCGTGGTAAGAGGTTTATAGGTTGATCTATCTTTCAATAATGATAACATCCTTTCGTTGTAGTCTGTTTTTTTAAATCACAGTTGATCCTCTTTTGTTCGCGGGAAGTATGACAATTCTTTTGTCACTTTTTGATGTTTTTAGTGCCTTCCCTTCTTCGTGGGATAGTACTGAAAAGGGATTTCGGTTCTTTAAGGCATGTGCAGTGCTATTCCGGATTGTGAAACATTCATCTTCTGTAAGATTTTCTGCGGATATTATAAACCCCAAGTTTGCAAGGAAATCTAGGTATTTCACATCGGATAAATTATATTTCCTTCCCTTAGAAAATACACTTTCTTCAGCTGTTGTAAGTCTTCTTGCTGACAGGTTCACCAACTTCGTCGAGCAAATTTGGTTTGTAGGAATTCGTTGAGAGATGGCCATCCATTTTTTTGTCAAAGACATTCCTCTTCTTCTCTCTTTCGATGTTGGAAACAAAGACAATCGTTTCGTTTAAAGATTCAACTACTTATGAAGGGAGATTATCTAGGCAGATTTGCGCATGCTGTTCTTTAGAAGCTTGGAATTTCTGAAGTCTGAAGTGAGCACTGGATATAAAGGCTCCAAGCATGGTTTGGCCGTAACGTAATGCAATTTGATATCCTTCAGTAGTTCTAATGGCAGGCTTTATTTGGACAGATTTTGGCAAAATCTTCTTGTTTCGGCATTTGTGTAAAAATGATAATTGTTCTCGCGGGAGACTGTTCCCACTGTCTAGCTTCTGGCAAAATCTCTCGATCAAAATTCATACACCATGCACCAGTGAGCCCTCCGAGCCCGTCGTTTGACTGGACACGGTGGATGACGTGGCGCCAGCCTCCGTCTGGGACGTGCGGCAAGCATGCTCGGCAATAGGTAAGGACTCACGAAGACTCGGGGCAACCTGAGTCAGTGCAATCCCAGTTTTTGGCCATTGCTACAGTGGCACAATTATTTTGGCTCATGCGCAGACCACAAAAGACACTGTTCGAGGTCGCATGCGACGCGCTGAAGTAACTTAAGGTCAACAAACAATACGCTATCGGACTCGTGGACGAGGGACATTTAACCGCCGTAACGAACAGGACGCACTACTTTAGAAAACCAAAAATTTACTGTAGCCTCACTAGTTCCATGTCTTATGCTAATCCAACCTCATAGAAACGTTGGTACGAGAAGCTTATGCAGCTTTGTTGATAATACGGAATTCGAGTGCACCGGTCCGTGCTGATACCCTAACAGACTGACCGTTCCTATTGTATGGCCTTCTAAAGGTGCACTGCAAATCCACTTCATACTTTCCTCTTACGTCACTCAGTGGCGCTACATCTAACATATTTTTAAGTTGCTACTTCAATGTTCCAAAGTTTTATGATTAGACCGTAGTCAGTTTTTCAACAAAATTTACTAAGATGCTTTGAAGGATAAGCGTTCTGCCAAATGAAGGCCTGGTGTTCTTTTATGTCATGTCCATGTTTACGCCTATTTCTCAGGATTTAACAGTTGGGGACCACTAAAGTGCTCCTTGGGAGTTGGCCTCATGAAATAGAGAAGCACCTCTTTTGACAGAAATAACTGCGAGCTGGGAAAAACATGCCCGTGAGTCCTTGGTTTTCTAAACTCACAGTGGAGGCTGTTATGCCGTGTCTGAAGCTACTGGTCCCTCAATACTACAAGCTTCAGTTCGTCTCTTTTCTGAACGCAAAAGCTACGACGGAAGAGCAGTACAACAACCAGTTGGCTTTCCTTGGTTTTTTGCGAAAAGAATGCAGTGGCCCAAAAATCAGTGTGTTTAGGGCGGAGGTAAATGCGACACAGGCCCTGAGTTTAAATCAAAACCTCCTAATCGACCACCAGCACAACAGCGCAAGGGTGCTTCATCAGCGTGTTGAGACGTACTGCAGCGAATACGAGGGCAAGATCGTTGGGGTAGAGTTCAGGACAGATGGCCATCCACACAATTTTGCCAATAGGTGCATGCAAAGACGAATCGAGTAATGAAACCCCACCGAAACCAAAGTTTGATCGGGGACGTCATCTGCCTCCTAATGTTCCTCGGCCTTGGGGTTGTGAGAAAACCGGAGACAACCATCAGTTGATGACACCGGAAATTCCCGCTGCGGCGGCAGGATACCTCTTGAGCTGTTTACTGCATCAGGGCAGTTGCGTAGGAAAATTACTCCGAATGCAAAGAGCTAATGACGCCCCACGAATAATGACGACCCACAAGCCGCACCTCTCTCAATGGAACTGAACCGCCCTTCAAGGTGCATGAGACCAAAACACGTGCGATGGGTGACAACCGCATGAGCCGACAAGCAGTTCATCAACTAACGCAATGATCTCTTTTCCTATCCCCGCCTCCACCCCCCTATTCGACGTTGGCATCTGGCGTGGACGGAATAATTTGCCACGCAGGGATGTGTACTATTCCAGTACCAGTGCTTTTGAGCCAAAAGGCTGAGTCATTAGTATGCTAATCATTAACATCATGGATGAAATCGCAGCTATTATTGACTGCGGTGCGGCTGATCAGATAATTATCATATCAAGTACGAGCACCTACAACGCATGCGGAAGCTGCTAAGTTTAGCAGGCGTGTGGTTGCGTAGCCACTATAAGGAGAGGACTTCCTTGGCTTACTCTTCAATGTAGTGATTCCATCGAATAAAAACCGAAATTCTCTGGTAGTTGTCAAAACAATGCTATCAATAGCGAAGTTGTCTCAACCTTTAGTCGGAGTCCGCTTAGTTTCCCTTCTATGCTTCCGTGCAATGTCAAGGGACTCTGTAAGTGCGGGATGAAAGAAAATTTCGTGCTCATCTTTTCCCTTCTTCGTGATACATTAGGTGGCGTATCCCCTGAAATTTTAAGTGGGCATCCGAAATATACTTTTTATTATAGAGGAGTGTGTTATCGCTTAGAGTGCTACATAACCCCAAGATATTTCGGCCACTTCAGGATGTCTTTGTCGGGAATAACATTTTGCCTATATAATGTGGACATTTGCAGCTGCGCCACTGGTCTCCTTCGACAAAGGAAACATCATCAAACCCTACCGATTGAAGAGGCAAAGTCGTTGCGATCGCTGAAGACAGATAACAAGATAGCTGTTATGTCTGCTGACAAAGGAGGAGCAACCGTTATCATTGACAAGGCTGACTACGTCAACAAGGTAAACCAAATCTTCGATGACAGGGAAGCCTATGAGTCACTCGCTGTAGACCCAACGAAAAATGAGGCCACGGCTATCAAGAAGAAACTGAATGATCTTGCCCGATTTATGCTCATAAGCCTCGATGACAGCAGATCTATGGCCCCCAATGACCCCCGTATCGCACGTGCGTACGGTCTTCCAAAGGTGCACAAGGCAGATGGGCCGCTGAGGGTCATAGCGTCACTTATTGGATCCCCTCCGTACAACCTTGCCAAATGGTTATAAAGACACTTAAAGAACCTCACAAATGGATCGCAATACAGCATCAAAAATTCCCAGGCTTTCCTACAAAAGATCCAAGGCCTTGAAGTAAATCCTGACGAATGTATCCTATTTTTCGATGTTGTTGCCCTGTTTTCTTCCGTACCACATGACCTGGCAATTGACAGTGTAGCCCGATGTCTAGAGCAAACTCCCATTGGCATTCCAGCACAGCATGTTCTAGGCATGATTAAGTTTTGCCTCAGGAATGATTGTCTGTTCGATGACGTACTAACAACAAATAAAGGGCACCCATTTGGGCTCACCAATATCTGGGCTGCTGGCAGAAATAGTCTTGCAGCTACTAGAACGGGATTTTGTGCAAACCTTCGAAGCAAAAATGGGGCTCCGCTACGTAGACGATACATTCGTCATCATAAAGGCCAGCGACGCTGAGCGATTGCATCAGAACTTAAATAACGTCTTCCCGGATACAGAGTTTACTCGCGAAGAAGCAACAGGAGATACCCTCCCGTTTTTAGATGTGAGTATACAAAGATTTAGCGATGGCAAAGTAACAACAGACGTCCACCGAAAAGACTCTAGTGCCGAAGCGGTCATCCTGTGGCCCATAAACGAAGCTGTGTCTGCACTCTTTTCCATCGGGCCTACCGCATCTGCAACAGTGATTACTTACTTAAGAAAGAATTGGCCTATTTACATGGGTTATTCGGGTCCAACGGATATTCGGCCAGTTTTGAAAAAAATTGTCTCGGACGCCAGGGGCAACAACCAAGCCCCGAGTCTAGTGGAGATAGAGTGTCGCAGAAATTCTATTTACTGCCGTGCATTCAAGGAATTTCTGAGACACTCTCCCGGCAATCAAAACACTTTGGCATTTCCATCGTCCGCAAGCCCGCATCTTCCCTATGCGAATGTTCAATATCGTAGGAATTGCGTTCGCTGTGAAGTTTTGCGAGACGCACTCGCCCTGTTAATTCTTAGGTGGTCGCATAGCGACCAGTAATGTATTCAGGGAAGAGAGTACCGACAAAGACTAGGAAGATCGAGATGGCCCTTTTATGTTAGTTGACCGTTGTCAGCCAGTCGTCCCCAACCCCATGCCTGAATTACCTGATATTCGAAGAAGCTCCCTCAGCCACCCTGACATGGTGAAAAAAAGAAAACAGAAGTTAAAATTAAGATAGTACAAACATGCTGGATACTTGAACTTAGCAGGTAGCACTTTACCTGTACACATGACGAAACCATCCGATGAAAACAACCGAAGACTAGAGTGAAGAGGATGGTGATGGTTTCTTAAATAAATGAAGTTCATTGCATGTCATCTAATAATCTGGCAGTCACTTTATAAATAGGGTATATACCTAAGCAAACATTATAGGTATCTTTGATTTAAAAAAGATACGTGTGTGTGTGTGTCTGCGTTTCGTTAGGCAGTTGACAGTCTTATGCTTAAATTGACAATTCAAACACGGGCGGTATGTCCAGTTCAGCGTGGCTGTGAGAGAAGAAGACGGCTTGGGCCTCCCGCTGTGAATGGACTTTCCGTTGGAGACACTAAGCGTTTTCCAAAAGTGCCTCCCTCATGATAAAATTAGAGAAATCCGCCAGTAAAGTCACCTTTTGTTGCAAAAAAATGAGAGGAGTGACATTCTGGCAAACTGTGGTAGAACTGGCACGAATCGTAGATTGATTAGGAAAACTAGTCTGTTTGGAGGTCATGCTACTCCGAAGTACCCCTCTTAGTAGTCATTATCCTCCACTAATAACGAGGACAGTGTCATCTGAAATGAAAATCGGATTAGCTCACTTGTTTGCTTACGTCAAACGCTCTGTTCAACTGAATCGTTTATTCTGCTCTCGAAGCTCTCTAGGAGGACGGTTGGGTCCCCTGTATCGACATGATAACTGACAGTTTGAATCTCGCGTCTGACGATATCCACCGTGCACTCCACAGCGCGGTAAAGGCAGGCACAATGACTTGTGTGTGAAGTAGTTTACGGCTAGGGTGGACTTGCGAAGCATCTACCGCACTGTCTCCCACTCCCTTGCCTGGGCCTTGCGTCAAGACAGTCGAGAACACCGGAGGCTGGGAGGGCGCAGGTGGCTAACGCGGCCGGACCTGCGCCTAGGCGTGCCATCACACCCCTTGTCCACAACAAACACGTGAGCGAAATTTCAGCCAACAACAACAATGGGTCAGAGAGAGGAGATTACGACACAAGTCATTGGGCAACCCTGTTCACGGCCTGTACACCCAGCGGGAACGCAAGCGCATCTACCGGCAGGAAACCAGGTGCCAGAAAACTGCCAGCGCATTTCAGGCTGCGAGGACCATGGTTTGCTAGATCATGGCATAGCAGATGCACACGATCCTTAAGGTACAGAAGTGTGAGACGCAGCCCTGCATTAAGCCTGGACCATTACCACTTCAGCCAAAGAATCAGAGGCATTACACATGATAAATAAGAATGGCATCACGCCTTCCGTCCCCTGCCTAACGAATCACTTACTCTGCCGCCTGCTCGTGCGCCTTTCGTAATGCTGACAGCTGTTGCGGCGACTATTTTTCTTCCTACGCATGAGCGATCATGCCGAGTTCATAGGCATTCGAGAACATTAGACTCCCTGCCAGTAACATCTGCGTTTGCGGCGAGTCGCTTGGATGCTGGGAAGGAATGGGCGAGGGTGTGTGAGAGTAAGCCAGCGACACTGAGTGGATAGTAAGGAGAGACAGAGAGGGAGTGGACATGTCGCGGCGGCAGACGGAAAAAGATAAAAGGGGCTGCTGGGTCGGTAGCTGGATCGGCGTGCCCAAACCGTGGACAGTTGTCCATCTACCATTCTCTCCCTCTCTCAGGACAACAGGCGCTCTCTCCCTCTCTTGAACGCAGGGAGGGGGGCGGGGGCTTATCAGGAAGCCGCTACGAGTGCGCATACGAAACCAATTGTTTTATCTCCCTTGCCCTCACCACGCATATGTCTCCTGGGGGGAGCGAAGGGGCAACCATCATGCACATACAGACATGCGCACACACACACACACCCATCTGGGACGTAAATCACGGTGTGCGTGCGTTGTGCGTACGTGGGCTACGACGCAGAAAAGGCGGGCACGAGTACTCGGACAAATGGTGTCATGTCGGCTGCGTCCAGGGCTTTGATCAGCCCAACGATAAATCTAGTTGTAGTTAGCAGCCGCTGCAGAGGCATCCGTGCATGCGTTGGATACTAACGTACACGGAAACGAGTAGCGCGGACGGCGCGCGCATGCGCCCGAGCACTCATTTTGCTCGAATGGGCATAAATATCATCCCTGGCGGTGGCGGCGGCGGCAGTTTCATTATCATCATTCGAGTTGATCAATTAGACGCTCGTGCAGACACGCGCATTCCAGCGTGTGTGTGCGTACGAGCACGCCTCTGGCCGCCTCAAGGGTGGACGGAATACAGCCGCCATTCGCCGCCGGCTGGCCAAACTCATCACGTTCGTCGAGGACGACGGCGAACGTGACTCTGTCCTCGCCCTGAAAAGCGAGTCGACCGACAAAGGCGACCCGTCAGCGCCACACGTCACGGCTGCCCTTGGCAAGACGCATGAACCTACAGTCAACATGTATACGCTGCAGCCAATAGAGGGCTTAAGATATGAAACCCACGACGTGGTCGGACTCTAGGCTTTTCCGTGTATTCGCATTGAAGGGGAAATGCTGTTGTTAGCAGGCATTCAGGGAGGAGTTGTTGTTGTGTCAGAGTTTGGTGCCGTGTGTAATATTCCGGGTGAGTAGTATATCATTAAATTATTACACGTCATAAAAGAGTGAGGAAATTCACTCCCGCCTGATGAGCTTCAAGTACCCTAAGGCGGCTCTTCTGGTCGCTCTGTACGTCTAGTTCAGCAAGATTTTCCAAATGAACTTCCGAGTCTAGATGAGTAGGTTTCCGCAGGAAGGTACAAAAGTTCTCACTCGACGTGTGATAAAGGAAAGATATGAAATTCATCAGTAGAAAAGCTTAGAACCCTTCATATCCACCCTGATCATGTGTTCCTACCAGTACCAAAACAGAAGGCGAATAAGAGGTCCCTTGCTCTCTATTCATATCTTTAAGCTTGAGGGACCGATCGAAACATAGACACCTGCATTTGAAAGCCAAGAAAATGAAGTGGAGTCGTACCAAAGAACAAAACACGAATACATTACAGAAATTCAATCATTTCTGGTAGTTTTTGACATGTTTAAGCAGGCCAGCTGCGTAAATAACTGCGGGATTCTGAAGGATTGACGGAAATTGAGTTTAGACCCCAGGGGTCTGTGGACACCAATATACCGAATTTATGCGGCTTACCAAGGTTTCCCAGACCCGGAATCTCGATTTAGCCAAGATTATACACCATAAGCTTGTCATAGTAGGGTGGTTGACTAGGAAATGCAAGTCGCTTCAGACCCAGCTATCTCACCATTGTCCGCGAGACACGTCGTAGCATCTTCCGCCCCACAGAATAAGAAGAAGACATTCACGTAAAAACCGTGTTGATTTGGGTGCGCCGTCATTTTCCACCAAACTTCTCTATAATTAAAACCAATCATGACTTTCCTAATTACATTGAAGACGCAAACTGTGATGCTTGAATATCGATAAATCCACTGAAAGAATTGTCCTTCGGATGCAACTTCAACGTTCGATTCAAAATTAATGGCCGTATTTGCATAAGAACGGACCCCCAAGGCCATTTCTAGCCAATATTTTTGTGGGAAATTGGTAAAAAAGGCGAGAGTTTATCGATGCATGGAGTCCAGCGAGTCGATGACCTGTTTGTCGTAAAAGAGATCACTGTTGTCTTGACTCGAATGTTGATGACGTTTATAGCCTGCATCCATCCATAAATTCTGCTCTGATTCAAAACGAAAATCACCCACTTTTGTTTCTGGATTCACAACTCACAAAAATGCACAAGGGTCTAAATTTTTGTTGGAAACCAGCGCAGACAGGGCCGTGTGT